AGTTGCAGTTGCTTGGCACTTGTGCTCCATCACATTTAGTTTGATCTTGAAGGTTCTATTTTGAGCCATTGGAGCCTTCATGATTAACCTTCCTCTTGCATCAATAACTCTCATCATATTATCTTCAATTGACATTTTATAATTCTTTTCTACCAACTACCCTATACTTAGTAAATTGCTCTTCATGCCTGGTATATATAACACAATGGAAATTACTGACCTCTTGCCATATTTCCTCATAATCATAACGTATCTAATACCTTCAGCTGCTAGAGTATTGTCATTTGTGAATTTCACCATGTTCTTTATTGAGGGTTTTATGTTGACAAACCAATATTTCCTCTCAGACATGTGTGATGAGCATCCTGAGTCCAAGTACCATTGTTTCTTGAATCTCTCTTCATATCTTGTTATCACCATCAGCATAATCTTTTCTTCTTCTTCATGTTTTGTAAACTGCATCATTTGCTTGATTCTTTCATTTTTCTAAACAATCACTAGAATATTGACCACACTTCAAACAATTTGAAACAATGAATGTGACTCTTGTTAAGTTTTCGACCACCACCACTTCCTCTACCTCTAACATCACCTCTTTGGTTGCCTTGGCATGAGGGCCTTCTTTGATTCGACACAATTCCTTCCGGCTGATCTCTTCTACCAGTCAGATTGTTGTAGACTCCTCTACCTTTATTTTCGAACCACTTTCCTTTACCTTTCTTTTCTCTTGCTGAATGCGCATGCAAATTCACATCACTCTTCAACTTTCCTGCAACTCTTTTAGTCATTCTTTGCTCATGAGATTCAAGCACCATTGACGCTCTTCATTTGTCGATTTCAACAAATCTTTCAACTCTTCTATGGCTACCACCACGTGGTCGAACTTCGGAGCTAAAGATCTCAAGATCTTTGTAAAAACTGATCTTTTTGTTAATGTTTCTCCACATACTTTGATTTGATTCACTAGTTTCGTAACCCTAGTGAAGAAATCAGTTATGCTTTCACTTTCTTCCATTTGAAGAAATTCATATGTTCTTTTGTGAGTTTGTAACCCCGCCTCTTTCACCTTTTCTACACCTCCAAAAAGACTTTTCCAGAATTTCCCAAATTTCTTTCGCAGATTCTACATCACTCCTTTTCAAAATTGCATGGACTTAGACATTGATGAATTATAAAGAGAGCTTTATAATTCTTCATCTTCAATTCTTTGTGTGCAACCTCTTCTTCTTCTGTTGTGTTTTCTTTAAGCGGTTCTAACCCTTCTTTCACAAGATCCCAAAGATCTTGACCACATAACACAACCTTTATTTACTTGCACCAATTCTCATAGTTATCAACTTTCAGAATTGGAAGACTTGCTAGAAAATGCTCATTTTGATGATTCATTGTCGTCGTGATTTTCTTGCCTTGAATCGCTCAATCGGAGCTCTAGATACCAGATGTTTGAAATCCACCAAAATTTATGGAGAACTTCTATTAATCTTGATGAACAAGATTATTCTTGATACACAATAACAATAAAAGAAAGAATTAGGGTTTTAACAAAATAAGGAGAAAATGATGATTTTCTACAGAGTTTCTCTCTGTCCACAAACGTTGGAAAAATCTTATTCACTTGAAACTGCAAATTCTGTGAATACAAGTTATGAGTGATTAAAAAATAAGAATTACTCCCTCTATTTATAATGAGTTTGCTTGCCCCCTAAAATAAAGCCTAAAACTATAAAAACTCAAAATAATTATTTAAATCGAAATACTATGTTGAGACTACCTCCTTCGACACTTCAACCGCTAAACAACTCGACACATACGACAATTTCGACATACACATAATTTTGACATAAAGAATTACATTATCAAGATCTGTATGCAATATTCTAATAAATATAGAGAAATTATTAAAGATAAATAAAAAAGAAGAATACAATAATCTTAATAATTGGTAAAAAGAAATTTGACAAATAATATTTTGTTTTAAATGTGTATAAAATAGTGGAGACATTATAAGATTGGATTATTATATCATTAGAAAAAATTATGAAAAGTTAAAATTTGATAATATTTAGATATGTGTGGCATATTTTGATGAAGAATTGATTATTTAAGCGACAAATTTTGTTGAAATTCAGTTGAATGGAGATTCAATAATATTTTAAATATTATTAAGTCTCACTCTATAGCAGTTTTTACGAATTAATTAGTAACAAAGTTGGAATATTTTTTCGTTGAGTGTGTTTGCTAATGTTTTAATAAATGATACCTTGTTGGTTGAAATAACATGGCTTTAGAAAAGTAAGATGAAGTAAACAATGAAAATTTTTCTTTAAAAAAGATAAAAAAGAAAGTTATCTTTCACATCCTTTTACATTATAGACACATAATAACGATGTTTTAAAATTCGTACAGGTTATCAATTCAATAAGTTATTGAATTATTGAATTATTGATCAAATTAGTGGATCACTGATTAGACTTTATGAGTTCTAATAAAATAAAAATATAATTTCTTTTTCGTTTGATAACATGTTTTTTTTTTCAAAACTTTTTTTAATTTATTGTAATATTATATAGTTTAATTAATTTTTCTAATTTTTTAAATTTATTATATTATATCATTTTATGCTTGATAATAAATAAGTTAAATGAGAATTGTATTAGAAAGAGTTGTTATAATTATAGAATATAAAATTCTCTTCTCTTTTGATTATATTAAACATCAAAAAAATTTATGTCGTTGATAAAATTACAATAATAATAATTTTTGAAAGAATACGAGTAGGGGTGAGAATAGGTTGGACCGAGTTAAACTTTATCAAATTTTAGTTTAGTGTGTTAAAAGTTTTAAAGCATAAGCTTGACCTGTAATCTATCATAAATTTATTTTTAGATTTGAGTCTGACTTTTTCGAAGACCTGATTAACCTATTAGACTACTTATAAGCCTATTTCATATGAACATTTGTAAATAAACAATTCAACTAATGTTTGAATAGACCATCACATTATAAAAAATCAATGAAACTACGTGTTTGTTTGAATTAACTTGTTCTAGTTTATCTAATATCATAATTTTTGTAAGACTATTTATTTGAGAGAACTTATGAAAATAATTTATGATATTATTCAGAAGATTTTTCAGCTTATTTTCATAAGTTATTCAAGATCACTATGATTTATTTGTGTATTTAAATTAAAAGTATAAATTATAATATATTATAATTTAGACTTTTAATTTAAATACACAAATAAAGTTATTTATATTTATTTAAATAGGCCGATTTAATAGGATTAAAAAGCTTTTTTATGATTGTGACCTAGCATTTTTTTAACTAAATAGACTTATAAAAAAGCCTAGACCTTTTATATTTTAAAAAAAATCTAGTCTGATCTGAGATCGTGTAGGCTAGACCGTAGATACGAGTCTTAATAAAACTACAATCTTAATAGTTATGAAAGATTACAGATATCATTGTTAAAATTTGACAAAATTTTATTTTTATAATTTTAATATTATTTAATTATAATAAATAATTAACATAATTATAAATATTATCAAAACCATATCAATATAGCCACAAAAACCTAAAAAAAATAAAATCAATGGATCAAAATTATAATTAATCTAAAAAATAAATATAAATAGATCAACTAAAAAATACAAATTGGTTTTATTGAATTTGTATGGCATGTAAGTAGCAGCTGAAAAGCAATGAAATCCTGTACCACAATTTTAAGTAAATAAGAGAAATATATTTTTGGGAAATTTCAGAAATATATTTCTCGAATAAATAAAATCGTAAAATAAAGATGTATGTGTCTAATATATTTCTGAAATATATTTCCGATTTCCAAAAATATTTATATATTTTCTAGTTAGAAAACTAAGAGTTAGATCAAAAGATTTATTTATTTTTTTAAAAGGAAATTTAGACCTAGAAAAATATATTTTCATCCGACCATTATATTTTGTGGTTGGATCAAAATGGTCCTATCTGATCACATTAGTCACAATTATACTGAATTTAAATCTTCTTTCTTTCATCTGTGTGACTGTATTCAATATGAAATTTCATTAGTTTTGAAATCACAATCTAAATCATCGTCAAACATATATATATATATATATATATATATATATATATATATATATATATATATATTCCAATCTAACAACCAAATGTGCAATTTGTTTGATAAACTCAGAAATAACTATCTCAATCCAACCAACAAAATGTATATTTTTTAATAAACCAAACCAACAAAATGTATATTTTTTAATAAACCAAACCAACAATTTTTTTGACAAACAAATATTCTTCATTAGCAGAAAGAACACAGAGGAACAACAATCAACCAAACTCATAGTTAGTTATAGTTGAAACTAAAATTATTTAAAGAAAAGGAAGCACCGAACAAAATGGTTTCGTTATTACAATTTCAACAAAGGAGGTGAGGTCAAAGAGCTTGACAACAACAAGTTTACCCAAGGATACGATGGAGTGCAAGATGCAAAATTAAGAGGAAAGTAAAAGTGAATGTAAATGGGAGAGATTAAATCCACTATTGTTGTGACTAACATGATCAAGTAGGATCATTTTGATCCAATGATGAAATTTAGAGATTTAATTAAACCCTCTCTCTAGACATCATCTTTTTTTTAAGATAACAAAAATTATCGGTAGTTACTTGTTTAATTTAGCTGATAAGCAAATCACATTTTATTTCCAAGGTCTTGTGTTTGGATCAGGTGGAGGTACAAAAAAAACAATTTTTTTCATTAGAACTAATGATTTTTTTAACTATCAAATTTAACATTAATTTTGTAATAGATATAAAAAAAGACATCGTTTTAATAGTCGTCTTAGATCTCACATTATATTGGATCGGCATTGAACATAATGTTTTTTTTTTGAAAAGGAAATACTATTATTTAATCAGCAAATTTGCCTTTCATATTACAAACAAGCTGGGCCTGAGGCCCGTTAATGTTTCTCTCAAGCCCGATTTCAGCTGTAATTTTAGTTGTATTGTGGGCCTTATGGTTATCCTCTCTACTCAAGTGGATGAACACAAGCGTAGTGAATCTTCTCTTTTTCTTCAGGATCTGGCGACACATCATATGAATAGTCAGTCTTCTATCTTGCATGTGGTGATTATTGAGAATTTCAATCAAAGTTTTGTTATCGGAAACCATCGCCACTTTCTGAAATCCTTGGCCGCCGCGTGCTTAACTGCGAGATTCATGGCCATAGCTTCAGCAACGAGCAGATCCTCTTCTCCCATTCTGCACCACCCAATCTCTTCCATCGTTTCGCCTTCGTTGTTGGTGATGACCGTTCCTAAACCCCATAGACCCTGGATTTTGAGGCTAGCATCAGTGTTGATCTGAATGTCGCAGCTGTGTCTTGTGAGGTAGAGGCTTTTGCCTTTGTTATTCCTTCTTATTTTCGTACCACTAGGTCTTCTGATTCCCTTTTGATTGTTATTGATATTTTGACTCTGATGCATGTTGTTTTGATGCTTGTTATTATTGTTGTTCGACTCTTCCCCTTCTGAGCTGTGGCGATTTCTTCGCTGGTCTTGTTCGTTGGTCCTAGAGATATCTTCAATCTGATGGTTTCTCGTATCCCTATGGCTTGAGGAGTTGATAGCTTGAAAAAAATTTTGGGCTCTCTTTGGATGTTGTCCTTTGGTCTCGCCTGGTAGTTGAAGGGAGTGTTGTCTGATATGTTATTCTTTCTATTGACATTCTCTTTAAGTTGCTCGTTGAGATTTTGAGTGTGGTTGTAATTCAGAGTAGTAAGGGTGTTATCCGCACTGCTGGGTTGGTTATTTCTAATAATATTATGCTTCATATGTCTGATATTTGACTGATAATTATGGTTGTCAGTTATTTTCTTATTGTTAGTAAGCTCTTTGTTCTGGTATGTTGTTTCAGGTTCTCCTTTGATTTCATGGCTTCTTTGTTCCATATGGTAACCTTTCTTCCAAGTACCTCCTAATTTCTTCTGATTATTCTTCTACTTTGTGATTATTATTGTCTTTCTCCTGGTGGTGTTGAGAGTTGGCAAGATGGAACTGGTGAGCATTGTGACACGCTTGTTGAATGGTATCTTCTGCTGGTATGTATTTCCCTTCGAAAATAATATTGTTTCTGGCCATCCATATCCCATCAACTATGTCAATAAGAATGGAAAGATTGTGGAGGCTCAAATTTTTCAGATTTCCACTTATCCAATATGGGAAGTCCCCGTTAGGGTTAGTGAATTTTAGGTTAAGGGGAGATCCTTGCCAGATATGTTTAGCCTAATCACAATTTTTAAAACAGTGATTTGTGTTCTCCATTATCGTTGGGCATCTAGGGCAAAAAGGATCACATGGTATCCCCCTCTTGTTGAGGTTTTCCTTGCTTAGGATGATTTGGTGCATGATTTTCCACATCAGGATATGTTGTCTAGGTGTTGATTTACTTCTCCAAATTTTATCCCAAATAGCTTTATCATCATTGTTGCTCTTACTAGCTATTTTAGGATTAGATTCCCATTCAATGATGTTGTGATAGCCCGTTTTGATACTGTAATTACCATCTTTAGTAGCTTTCCAACATATAGTATCCTCCTCTTCCAAATTGTGCAGAGGGATTTGGAGGATATCTTCTATATCACTATTGTTGAATAGAGCTTTAATGATGTCCTCACGCCATATACCTTTGTCATAATCAATTAGCTAGTTCACCTTAACCACAAGGTTGTTTGTAGGTTTACTAGATAAGATTCTAAGATTTTTGTGACTAGGAATCCAATTATGCTGCCAAATATTGATGTTATTTCCATTCCCTATATTCCAGTAGCTCCCATGTTTGGTGATGTCAATGCAACTGCGAAGGCTCCTCCAAAGGTATCTAGGGTTAGTACCTATCTTAGCTTCCAAGATATCAGATGAAGGATAGTATTTGGCTTTTAGATTTTTGGCTATTAGAGATTGGGGGGAGGTATGTAATCTCCAAAATCTATTTTTCTAGAAAAGCTTTGTTAAATTGGTGAGTTTTTCTAAAACCAAGACCCCCTTCTTTCTTAGGAGTACAAAGCACAACCCACTTCTTCCAACGTATCTTATCCCCCACCAGAATTTAGCAATAAGACTGTCAATTCTGTTGCATATCCCTTTAGGAAGAAGGAAGGAGTTCATGAGATAATTAGGTATAGCTTGTGCCATTTATTTTATAGGAGTTACTCTGTCAGCATAGGATAGAGTCTTAGCTTTCCAACTTTGAAGTTTTTCTCTGAGTCTGTCCCTAAGGGACCAAAACTTTGATTTCTATATTTGTTCATCTGAGTAGGGAGACCCAGATATTGTTGAATGGATTTGACTATATGGATGTTTAGAATATTTGTTTAACCTCCTACTTTATTCCTGAGCTAAACTGCATTTCTGATTTGTTGTAATTAATTTTTTGGCCTGAGTTGTCTTGATACTCATGAAAGATCTTGCTTAAGTTTCTAGCCTCTTTGGTAGTTGCCTGGCAAAATCTCAAGTCGTCATCTACAAAGAGAAGATGAGTAACGTTAGGAGCTGTTTTAACAATTTTAATTCCAGTAATAAGTTGGCTATCCTAGCATGTTTCATAAGAGCAGAAAATATGTCAGCACATATAATAAAAAGATAGGGAGATAGGGGATCCCCTTAGTGGATCCCCCTAGTAGGATTAATGTTACCAATATGATTTCCATTAATTAGAACATCCAACTTGACTGTAGTGATACAAGACATGATAGAAGAGATAAATTCGGTAGGGGTGTCCAAATTAATAAGGGATTCTCTTATGAAGTTCCATTCCAGCCTGTCATAAGCCTTTAATGTCAATTTTTATGCCCACCCATCCTTTCTTATGCTTGTTCAGCTTGTTAAGATTGTGAAAAGCTTCAAAAGCTATCGTGGTGTTATCAGAAATGAGCCTCTTATGGACAAACACACTCTAATTATTACTAATGAGCTTAGGCATCAAAGGTTTAAGCCTATTAGCCAAAACCTTAGTAATAATTTTCATGAGAACATTGCACAAGGCTATAGGTCTAAAGTCTTTAGGTTGAGTGGGTTTTTTAGTTTTGGGATGAGTTTGATGTGGGTTTTGTTAAAGATGGCAGGGCTAGAATGATTATTGAGAATGTCCAGCACCGTAGCATTGATATCTTGTCCAACAATATGCTAGTAGGTTTGATAGAAAGACGCAGGAATACCATCAGGACCCGGGGCTGCCCCCCTTTCAGATTCTTCATAGCCAAATATACTTCTTCAGGAGAGTAAGCCTTACTTAGCTGGTGTTTTATATCAGTAGTACATGTCTTAGGAAGAGTTATAGGGAGAGACTTTCTATTTCTGTTTCTCTTAAATAACTCCTTGAAATAGCTGAGAAAAGTCTCCTGGATAGGACCCCATTATTATTAAGGATAAATTTAATCTTGTTTTGATTGTTCCTTTGAGAGGCTTTGATGTGAAAGAATTTAGTATTTCTATCCCCCCTTAACCAGTGCATCTTTGCTCTCTGAGCCCACCAGATCTCCTCCTGATGCAGAAGAAAGTCCAATCTATTCTGGAGGTTTCTGATTCTGTCATAATTTTGATTGTAAGGGTTGTTATTCTGGAGCCTGTAGATTTCCTCTTTCACCTTCTCAATGATTTGGTGGGATTCCCAAAGGTATTTTCCCCTCAATTACATAAGATGTCAAGGGTATTTTGAATTTTATCCCGAGTCTTCCTGTGATTCTGGTTCTTCCAAGAGCTCTCAATTATTCCCTCAATGTCCTGGTGCTCCATCCAGATGTTCTCAAAATGTTGTGATCTCTTGACACAATATCTAGGAGAAGACAACTCCTGCCTAGAGGAAAATTTTAGGAGAATATGGTTATGGTCAAAGGATATTCTATGGAGATGGGTGTTAGAGAAGTGGGGAAAATTAGTGATCCAATTGTTACTGGCCATAAATCTATCCAGTCTAGCCATGATGAAATCTCCACCTTGCTGGTTGTTGGTCCAGGTCTCCATATTACCAATATAGCCTAAATCATTAAGATGACAAGAAGAAAAAGTATCATTAATAATGTTAGAAAGATGAGGAAGCATAGGGTTTTCCCCCACTTTCTCTTTGTCATATCTAATGAGGTTACAATTATCATGGGGGTTTCTTTGAGCCAGATTATTAATCAAATTGTAGGTTAAGGTTTTTTGATTAGATTTGGGATAGCCATATATAGCAGTGCCTCTCCAAGTAGCATTATTATGGGTGTTATAGACAATGTAAAAATCAATCATGTTATTACTAGAATCAATAATATTCAAGGTTACATCATTGTCCCAGAACAGACCCAACCCATAGCCCTACCTATATCATTACTAGTACAACTGATTTTATGGATATTACTAAGCCCCCCATTTTAGAGATTTTGTTAAACACAATATCATTATTAAGCTACTTAGCTTCAGATAAAAAATAATATAAGGTTTGATTGAGATAATCAAATTTTTGTGGGCTCTGAGGGTTTGGGGCTTGCCCAAACCCCTGCAATTCCAGGATAGGATCTCCATTTCCTGCTGGTTGCCTGTAGACTAAGGCTGCCACTTTCTGAGTTTGGGATATATGTTGGGGAGCCTTCAATCTCCTCAATTCTTCTCTTTTTTTGTTGATTTTGTGTTGCTTCTGAGATGGGAGAGTTTAAATCTCTGTCTGGTTGTTCTGTAACCTTTAGTTTAGCCATTTTATCAATCCGTTCCTTGAGGATAGGACTGAACTGGCTAATACTTGATTTCCCTATAGGTTTACTGCCATATTTCCTGTCTTGTTGAGCCATACACTTTCTTCCCCTTTGCGTAGTCTTGAGTCAGGGTCCTAAAGGGTTGATTTCAGTGATACCGTGCATTGGGGTTACTTCTCATTTGCATTGTTCTTCATTATGCCCCACTAGACCACAATAGAAACAAACCATAGGTAGGTTTTCATAGAGGAAATCAATCCAAAACCACTCCATTATTTTTACTGCCAATACACATACCAGGAGATATGGCTTTATTTATTTCCAGATTAACTTTGACCTTGACTATGGTTGTTCTATCCTGCATCTCGTATATGCCTGCTTTATTTATTTCCAGATTAACTTTGACCTTGACTATGGTTGTTCTATCCTGCATCTCGTATATGCCTGCTTCCATGGTTTCCCCTAACTTGGATCCTATTTTGATACCCATCTGAGATGTTTTGTGTTGATAGGGAGGCCCCAGAGTTGAACCCATATGGGAGATTTGGAGAAATCTAGTTGGTGTAGAGCAGCTTTACCATCCCATTCTCTTAGGATGACCCGTGAATTTCTGAAAAGCCAAGAACTTCCTTTCAGGATCTATTGATGATCTTCATAAGCTTCCATTGTGAACTGGAAAATTTCTTTTTCAATTTCTTTAATTGCGAGCCCCTTGGGGTTACACCAGATGTTGGAGAAGGAAGCTTGAAGGGAGTCTCTGTGGATAAGCTTACTAGTTATAATTCTGCCCAAAATGGAGGGTTTGAGGCAAGTATAATGTCTTGGATTTCATCTTCCTCATAGACCGGTAAGTTTTGATCCACCGCAGAGTCTTTGCTTGAGTCTTGGTTTTGGGGGTTGTCACGTCTTGCAGGAATTTCAATGCTATTGATTTCTCTTTGTTTGCGAAATCATGTATTAACCATTTCTTGATTGAAATTTCGTTGAACAAGATAATGATTCTGGAGTTGAATGTTTTTTGCAGGTGAATGCAAATTGTTGTGTTGTTGATCTTTTTGAGCAAGATCTTTCAGGTTGATCAGGGCAGAGGACGTAGAACTTGAAGAGGTTGTCTCGATATTTTCCATGGCGAAGGAACCTAACAGGGAGAGAAAAAGAACGTAGAGGGATCGAGAGATAACAAAAATGCTGAGGGAGAAAGCGAAAGAAACAGGGAAAACCCAGAGATCAGGAGGACGATAGGGTCGTCAGAGATAAAAACAACGGAAAGTAACATGAAAAAGGGTGGAGGAGGGAGGAAAACTCTCAAACAAACCTAAAGAAGAAGGCTACGAAGATAAACACCTATCAAGATAGGGACGCACACGGAGGTGAAAGAGAACACAAGCACGAGATTATTGAAAGAATCTTGAAGCGATAGATTTAGACCAAAACAAATCGATTCCTTTTTCAACCATATTTATTTACACGGATTGTTGGTAGTTATAATTAGAATTTTATTTTATTTTAATTATTTTCTTATTAATTAACTAATTAATCAAAATAAATTTATTATGAGAGAATTATAATATTATAATTTAGTATTGATTTTAAATTCAAATAGTTTTAATTCCTTTTTCATATATTAAAATTTTATTAACTATTCATTTTTTAAGACATGTAATTTATATTTATTTTTTTATATTAAAAGTTAAAAAAACTTATATAATAATTTGTCATTATTTCTAAATTACACATCATTTAAAAATAGACATATTATCAATTTTAACAGTAAAATTATGAGAAGTGAACTAAAATTATTTAAATATAAAATAAAAAAATTAATTTTGTAAATCAACTAAAATAGGAAGATTATAATTCTAATTAAAACAAATATTGAAATATATTAAAATTATAGATATATTCATAAACTTTTTTTTTTTTTTTTAATTTTAAAAAAAGTAAGCTGGTTTGAAATAACTGTTTTAACCTGACCATGTTTAATTCTTTTTTTTATTAAGGAGGGTCTAAGCCTAACAACAAAAACAAACTACAAAGATTTGATCATGTTTAATTCTTATTTTTATGGGAGTTTCTTTGTGTATCTTATATGGTGGAAAAAAAACATCTAAAAACGTATTTTTTAGAGATGTATTTTCGAATATATCAAATTTCATATTTTTTTTATGTTTTCAGAGATACATTTAATTCACTAAATTCCATATATATATTATCTTATTTATAAGAAAAAATTGATACATCTTAAATTTAATGTTCAAATTAATTAATTGGTATTTCGGACAAAATAGAAAAGTGGAATATTATCTTTTTAATGTATTTATTGTTAAAAATTTACTACGGTATCAAATATTAATGACAATAATTAAATGTTATAGTACGCTATTTCATTTTTGATCTTATTGGATCAGAAATGGACCGTCACAGCTGCATTCGGGCTGAACTTGAATGAGATGGTGGGGTATCTGCAAGACACTTCGATGGTAAAGGGAGAAGCGGAATGAGCAAACAAGTAAGAGTTTGAGATGTACGAATGAATACCTGCCCGTCTCGTGAGAGAGGATATTTATAGCCCCCAACGCTGGGCCAAGGTCCCCACTTTTGAGCCACGCGGAGGCCTAATAACGGGAACTATCAGGGTTTACGTGTGTAAAGAGTCCAGCAAATGGACTCCCCCTGGTCAATCGCTCTGCGAGAATAGGGCTGGACCCGAGATTCCCGGAGGGCAGTTTGGGATGTCTGTCAGGAGGTTATGGGCCACGTCCTCCAACGGTTGGATGGGGAGTTGCCCCACGGTCTCTAACTTGGGCCCGTCTTTGGGCTTCCCGTTCGTAGGGCAAATGTAGGCCCAATCCAGATCAGGAGCCCCCCAAGTTATTATCCTCGAGCTAGAGGACGGTGACTTGAGTTCAGTTCTCGCTACCGAAGACTTGGCCGAGGTAGAGGGCCAAAGTCCCCGAAGGGAGTGAGTCGTTGCCCGCGGGGGGTCACTGTTTTCTCGAGAGAACATATTGGTGGCGAGGAGCCTCTGCGAGACCCCCTTTGTTATGCCTGTATCCTGGGAGTTGTTAGATTTTCGAGCACTTCCTCGTCCCGGAGATGGTTAAATGGACGTACCCCCTTTCGTGCACTCAAACGGCGAGCACTTCCTCGTGTAAGTGTTTGCCTCACACGTTTGATAGTTGAGTCACGTGGCTAGTGCTTTGGGATGCCACCCCCTCAAGGAAAAAGCATAAGGGACCAATGAGGTGATGATCCTTCATGAGGGATCCCTTGGGGCGTGGGTCGCCTATAAAAAGGGGGGGCATTGGGTCTCATTTGTCACCTTCTCAAGTTTCCTCTCACTCTTTTCTTTGCTCGTGGCGTGAAGCGGTCCTCTCAACATCTCAGTTTCTCCCTCCAAGTTCTTCATCCAAGTAAGTTATAACCTCTCAACACCATGTTTCTTGAGCGTTTCTGGATTAAATGTCAAAAATTTATCTTGATTGGATGAACATTCATGAGTTTCATGATGAATACTCATGAATGTTCGTTTGAGTTCACGGGTTCCGTGTCGAGCGCTTATGGACATTTATGTTATAGCGTCCGGGAGTACTCCTTAGGCTAGTGTGCATCCCGTATTTTTTCTCGGCGGGTGATCCCCCGACTACATGTCCTTGGAATGTAATGGTCCGCTTTAGCATGTCGAGGGCTTGGGTCGAGTTCGTCGCCCTTTCACTTGATCTACGGTGGAAGGGTGGATTTGATAATGTCGAATTCACTAACTTCCCCTGCTTTTCAGGTACAATGGCACGTTCAATCGGGGACGATATTTCGGCCGCCCATCACGAAGACGAACCTCGTAGCGACGAGGACCCTTTGGCTTGGGTTGCTCCGGAGTCTCGGGATAAATTGTCGAGCTTTTCACATGACGCGATGGATGCGTTCAAATGTCTAGAGGAATGCACAGAAGGGGCCACGGTCAACTGGATGCTTCAAATTCCCCATCGAGACTGAAGGATATGCTCGACGTATTCGGGCAAATGGTTCCCCATGTACAAATTTGCTTTCAGAGAGGCGGGGATGCGTCTTCCCTTCAATGATTTCCAGGTCGGGGTTTTCCAATGGCTTCAGTTGGCGCCTTCCTAACTTTATCCAAACGCGCTGGCATTTATGAGGGCGTTTGAGCTTGTCTGCTAATACCTGGGGATAGGCGCCACGCTGCCTCTTTTCTTCCGCATCTTTCACCTACAAAGACAATCTGTCCGAGGGAGGCAGGCATGGGTGTCATTCAAGCAGTTCGGGAAACTCTTCTGGCCTTATCTGGAGTTTGTCCGAAATTTTAAAGAGAGGTACTTCATTGTGAAGCCCCTGACGAAAGCGGCCATAGATTCTCTCTATACCCGTGTGGAAGAGATGGAGGAGGGACGGCCAGTTACCCGACTTATGGCCAGATTCCTGCTCGAATGGCAGTGGAGGCATTATGAGCAAAGGCTCGAATACTATGTCGTGAAACCCGAGGATTTGGATGCCCAAGACCAGCTTTCATACGAGAAGTTGTCAGCTTATGTTAAAGGTTTCTCCCCCGCAAAGTGCATGGACATGAACGACAACCTGTTGTTTGACGAGGAGAGAGAGTATCTCTTAGTCAATAGGTTCATCAATACTAAGGCCTTGCTCGAGTGCTCCTCGAATGGGGAAGCCATGAGGCTCTTGGGTAAGGCGTAGCCGTTACTTTGCTTCTTTTTACGCGGGGACGTGCCCGCTCTGTTTTTGATTTTTCCAACTCGACTAACGATTCTCTTTGATTGCAGGTCGAATGACATATCTTTCTGGGCATTCATTGAAATTGAGGACCAAAAATGCATCCACTTCTGGACCACGAAGCAGAGTCGCCCAGCTTCAGGAACAACCCAAGTCTTCCGGTCGGGCCAGTGGTTCCCCTTCCTCCTCAAAAAACCCAACTTCTACTAATCCGGCCCAGATTCCGGTCAACGAGCCCGTGGCTAAAAGGAAACGTACAGATAACGCTGCGGGCGTGACGTCCGAAGGTGACAAAACGTCCGCGGGGGTTTTCGTATTGCCTCCTTGCTATCTAAATCGCAACCTCTTCAGCGAGGAGGACTCCCTCGGCGTGCGCGGGGAGGAGAGGGAGGCTATTTTGACTGAAGACAAGGAGATTCACCGGAAGCACCTGGCCGAAGACGTGGCTGCTGTGATGAGGGTGCTCGAGACGGCCCTTTCGCTCAATGATGAGTCCTCGAGTGCTCAAGCTTCCCTCGACACGGCCTGCGCCAAAATCTACAAGCTAAAGGTCAAGAATGAGAAGTAGAAGGTTTATATCCTGAACCATGAGTCAAGGTACGAGGCCCAAGTTCAACTTCTCAAGGATTTAAACGAGCTGAGGCCTCAGCTGGAGGCGGTCACTGCAGAGAACGAGCGTCTGGTCGCTCGGAAATTGGAGCTAGAAGGGATGTTCGCGCCGGCCGAGGATGAGAACGAGAAGGAGAAGAACATGGTGACCAGGGCGGATATGATTGCTCGCATCCTCTTGCTCGAGGAGGACGTGGTTGATACCCTTGGTTACGGCTTCAACATCGCTGTCGAGCAATTGAAGATCTTGAATCCTGGGGTCGAGTTAGTGGTTGAGGGGGCGGGGCCATTCAACCAAGTTGTTGACGGGAAGATCCTTTATCCCTCGGACGACAGCGACATGGAGGATCAAGTTTGAATGTATTCAGTTCAGGGCCTGCGTGTCCGTTGTTGTTTTGGGGCCTGCGCGTCCGCTATCATTCTTTTAATTTTGAGGCCGTTGTGCCTAAATTATAAATTTGAACACCGTCGGCCTTTGTAGTCAGCATATTATA